ATGATGATGATGATGAAGGAGCTCAGGGGAGGCAACCAAAATAAAAAATTGTTTGGGATGATGATGATGACGATGAGTATGATGACGGCGATGGGAGGAGGGAGGAGGGGGGAGAGGAGGAGGAGGAAAGGAGAGGAGAGGAGACGCGAGGCGCTGTCTCTTCAAAACCAGGACCCAACAGCACAGGATGGTTGGGGGGGGGGGGAAAAAACAAAAAAAAAATCCTGGCGAAAGACCCAACCATATGCAGTTGTGAGTGCCGCAATTGTGAGTACCTGCTTCGGTGGCGCTCCCTATGGGGCCAAGAACCGCATGAGGGGCATGCCGAAACATGGCGGGGTACACAACGCAAAAGAATACGATAGGTCATATTACGAAAGAATGAACGCGGGTGAGCAAGAGCGCGAGAGAGTCTGAGTGTGAATGGGTCTGCGCGGGAGTGAATATATTTGCATGAGTGCGATCTTGGCTACGCCTAGTGTAAATGTGTATGAATGTGAATGGCTCGGGCATGCCTTTCCGAACACTTGTGACACTGGGCGTGGCCGCCGCAGGCAGCTTCCGCGGGAACCCCGACGGCAGCGCCCGCGCGCCGCGACGCCCATGTTGCCACGCCCCCACACGGGGATCGCACCCGCTTCCGTCCCTTCTTTTCCCCCCTCTTTGCCTGCGCGTTCCAAAAATCCAAAGCTGCGGGCGCAGAGCAGCGCGGAGTCCCCGCGACGCGCGCAGGTCGCCGCGGAGGGGTCCCAGCGACGCGCGCATGTCGTCCGCTGCGCGGAGCACAAAGAGCTAGCCGGCCGGCTGATTGCGGGCGGGCAAGGCTAACTGCACCACTGGGACCTTAGGTGCAGCTCCCTGAGGGGCCACGAAACGTGTGAGGGGTGTGCCAAAAAGGGGCGGTGGCGCCATGCGAGCTGCGCCACTTGGACCTCAGGTGGAGCTCCCTGAGGGGCCACGAAACGTGTGAGGGGTGTGCCAAAATGGGGCGGTGGCGCCATGCGAGCTGCGCCACTTGGACCGTAAATGGAGCTCCCTATGGGGCCACGAAACGTGTGAGGGGTGTGCCAAAATGGGGCGGTGGCGCCATGCGAGCTGCGCCACTTGGACCTAGGTGGAGCTCCCTATGGGGCCACGAAACGTGTGAGGGGTGTGCCAAAAAGGGGCGGTGGCGCCATGCGAGCTGCGCCACGTGGACCTTAGGTGGAGCTCCCTATGGGGCCACGAAGCGTGTGAGGGGTGTGCCAAAAGGAGCTCCCTGAGGGGCCACGAAATCTGTGAGGGGTGTGCCAAAATGGGGCGGTGGCGCCATGCGAGCTGCGCCACTTGGACCGTAGATGGAGCTCCCTGAGGGGCCACGAAACGTGTGAGGGGTGTGCCAAAATGGGGCGGTGGCGCCATGCGAGCTGCGCCATTTGGACCGTAAATGGAGCTCCCTATGGGGCCACGAAACGTGTGAGGGGTGTGCCAAAATGGGGCGGTGGCGCCATGCGAGCTGCGCCACGTGGACCTTAGGTGGAGCTCCCTATGGGGCCACGAAACGTGTGAGGGGTGTGCCAAAAGGAGCTCCCTGAGGGGCCACGAAATCTGTGAGGGGTGTGCCAAAATGGGGCGGTGGCGCCATGCGAGCTGCGCCACTTGGACCGTAGATGGAGCTCCCTATGGGGCCACGAAACGTGTGAGGGGTGTGCCAAAATGGGGCGGTGGCGCCATGCGAGCTGCGCCACTTGGACCTTAGGTGGAGCTCCCTATGGGGCCACGAAACGTGTGAGGGGTGTGCCAAAATCGGTGTGCGGGACGCATGCGATGATGATGATGATGATGATGATGATGATGATGATGATGATGATGATGATGATGATGATGATGATGATGATGATGGTGGGAGGAGGAGGAGGGAGGGAGGAGGGGGAGGAGGAGGAGGAGAGGAGGAGAACGCGGGGCGACGTCTCTTCAAAACGAGGACCCAACACCACAGGAAAAACAAAAAAAAAAAAAACAAAAAAAAAAAAAAAAACATAAAAACAAAAAAAAAAAAAAAAAAAAAAAAACGAGAGCAAAAACAGAAACAAAAAAAAAAAAAAAAAAACGTCGGAGATCTGGCGGGGGGCGCTGGCGGCCGGCGAGCAGCCCCCGCGCATAGCGGTCGGTCTCCCGCTGGAAGGCGGCGCGGAACTCCGCGGCGGACATCGCGGCGGCTGGCCGCCGCTCCTCGGCGCCGCCGGCCGCCGGCCAGGCTGAGGTCGGGCGTGTCCCCCTGCAGGCGGACGTTGGAAGCCAAACGAAACATTACCAAGAAATGCCCCACAAATATCCCAAAATATATCCCACAAATATCCAACAAAAAATCCCAAGATGCCCCCCAAACATCCCAAAACATTCGACAAATGTTACAAAATATCCCAAAATATCCCAAATATCCCAAAATATCACAAAATTGCCAAGAAATATCCCAATATCCCACAAATATCACAAAAACATGGCCAAGAATGCCCCACAAATATCCCAAAATATCCCCACAAAATATTCGACTACTCGTTGACTACTTCTGGGCACGCCTCCTGCAGAGGGAGGGACAGGCCCGACGTCAGGCCGGGCCGCCGCCGGCCGCCGTCCGGCCGCTGGCCGGCCGAGGAGCCGCCCGAGATCCGCGCGGGCGCTGGGCGAGGTCTCCCCTGCCAGGCCTGCTCGTCGCGTCGTGGGAGACAAAACAGGGCTGGGATCGGGATAAGTCGCTCCAGAGCGTTCCGGAGCGCTCTCAGAGCGTCCCGGAGCGCTCTGGAGCGGCCGCGGCGCCCGATACATCCTCCAAACCCGCCGACCCTCAGAGATTTCGAGTTATCCCGATCCGATGTTGTCCCGATCTTCGCGTCGTTTTATGATCACGACGGGGGGAGGGGCGGAAAAAACCCGCGGGGGGGAAAAACAAAACCCGACCTTGCTGCCTTGCTCGCGCGCTGCACGGCACGCGCGCGGGACACCGCAGCGAGCCTGGAGTCCGAAACGCGTCGCCAGCTAAAAAAGTGGTTGAGATCGGTAGTGCACCAAGGGGGGGGCAGGTGGCGGGGTCCGAGCCCCACCCGCACCAACCGCGGACTCTCCGGAATCCATGGGAGGCGGGGGCGGAGTTCGGAGTTCGCTGGGTGTGCGACGCATTCCGAGCCCTACCCCCCCGCCGCCCATCGGGTGGCCCTGATCGTGGATCGGCGAGGGTAGGGTTCGGATTTCACCGCCCAGTATGGCCGATTTCGGCCTCAGGAGGGATCGGCTCGACGCCGCCGCTGTCGTCGTTGTCATCGCCGCCGCCATCGGTCGTCGTCGTCGTCGTCGTCGCCGTCGTCGTCGTCGTCGTCGTCGTCGTCGTCGTCGTCGTCGTCGTCGTCGTCGTCGTCGTCGTCGTCGTCGTCGTCGTCGTCGTCGTCGTCGCCGTGAGGCTTCAAAGGTTTTCGAGCCTCAGGATGCCTTCCAGAAGACGCACCCCGTAGGGGGTCTCTGGGCTTCGGGGTAGCTCGAGGTCGTGGTGGACGGTCACCTGGGGCCTTGGAAGCCCATTTCGCCACTTCTCGAGCGGGGCGCGGCCAACGAAAGTGACCAGGGCTGGACCGAGGAGGCAAGGATGCAAGGGTGGCCTTGGGAAGGTCGCCCGTCCTTCCTGTGCGGGTTGACCGCAGCCCGATACTGGCCAAAAAGCTGCAACGACGTGGTTTGACCGTCCGGCTTGACCATCTTCACTGGGCCGGTGCACACGTAGGCCGCCGAGGGGACCGCCGCGGGGCCGGGGCGCCGCCGCGGGGCACAGCGGCGCCCGCGGGCCGCCGCAGGGTGCGCCGCCCAGCGCGCCCCGAGCGCGCCCCGAGCCCACGAGGCTGCGGCGGGCTGCGGAGAGCGGCGGCCGCGCGGCCGCCTGCCGCCTGCCGCTGCTGCCGCCGCCGCCGCCGCCGCAGCCGCCGCTGCCGCCGCGGCCCGCCCACGCCGCCGTCGGCGCCGCCTGGCCGCTGCCGCCGCTGACGCTGCTCAGCTGCCCCTCCGCCTGCCAGGGCTTCTGCCCACGACGGCCTCGGGGCGTCGAGTGGCCCGGAGATCCGGGGCGCCTTCGGAGCCTCGGGCCTCTGGGGCCTCCCGAGAGGTCCAGGGACCCCCTGGACACGTCAGGGGGCGTCCAGGCGCCAGGATCTGGGGCGGCGTTCAGGCTGAACACCCGCGGCCCGCACGCGCCGCCGCCGCAGGCCGTCGTGCTTCTCCACCTCCCTCTCCTCGTGAGTATTCCTCCTCCTCCTCCTCCTCCTCCTCCTCCTCCTCCTCCTCCTCCTCCTCCTCCACCTCCTCCTCCTCCTCCTCCTCTCCGCCTCCTCTCCTCCTCCTCCTCCTCCTCCTCCTCCTCCTCCTCCTCCTCCTCCCCTCCTCCTCCTCCTCCTCCTCCCTCCTCCTCCTCCTCCTCCTCCTCCTCCTCCTCCTCCTCCTCCTCCTCCTCCTCCTCCGCCTCCTCCTGCCTCCTCCCTTCCTCCGCCTCCTCCTCCTCCGCCTCCTCCGCCTCCTCCACCTCCTCTTCCTCCTCCGCCCTCCTCCTCCTCCTCCTCCTCCTCCGCCTCCTCCGCCTCCTCTTCCTCCGCCTCCTCCGCCTCCTCCACCTCCTCTTCCTCCACCTCCTCCTCCTCCCCTCCTCCTCCTCCCCTCCTCCTCCTCCTCCTCCTCCTCCGCCTCCTCCTCCTCCTCCTCCTTCTCCTCCTCCTCCTCCTCCTCCTCCGCCTTGCGCTGGTCACACGCACGGTGGGCACAAATTCGCGGCGCCTGTGCGCGATCTCACTAGGGTGCTGCCAGGAAGACCCTCGACGAAGAGCGACTGCCGGAAAGCACCCCAGGGCCCGAAAACCTCCTAGAGCAACAAAAAGAACTTTGAACATCCAGGTACACCGCCCAAGAAAAAAAAAAAAAAAGTGGATTGCTGGCGTCACCGCCTCGCGGGACACCCTGCCAAGTCTCCCAAACCCTCTCCCTCCCGCCGCTACTCGCGCCATGTTGTCCACGCCAGGGAAGTGGGTGTGGAACTTCGCCCTGGTCCTCAAGAAGCGCGGGCCAGAGGGAGGGAGGGAGGGAGGGAGGAGGGAGGGAAGAAGAAGAGGAGGGTCGGGAAGGAGAAGGGGAGGGGGGATAGGGAGGATAGGCAGAACGGATGGAGAACTGATGAGGAAACAAGAGGAGGAGGAGGAGGAGGAGAAGGAGGAGGAGGAGGAGGAGGAGGAGGTCGGTCGGTCGGTCGGTCGGTCGGTCGGTCGGTCGTGGACCTCGAGCGGCTCAGTCATCTGAGCCCTGCCGGAGTGTGCAAGCGTACAGGTTAGCCTGCAGCCTATCGGAGGAGGAGGCGGAGGAGGAGGAGGAGCAGCAGCAATAGCAGCAGCAGGAGGCGCATCAGCAGGACTGGCAGGATCGGCGGTAAGAGGAGCAGGATGAGGGCTGAGAGATAGGAGGAGGACGAGGAGGATGAGTCCGTAGCCATTTTGACTCAAGGCTCACGTCGCAAGGTGTCGCTTCAGCGATTATTCCAACTCTTAGCAAGTCGCACTGGTTGGCTGTAAAGAGGGCACCCTTGGAGAGCCAAGCGGTCGTGGAGGCCTATGTCTCGAGAGCCGCCCCGAACGCGTCGGCCTGCGGTTTTTGACACTGGTGCCGTTGAGCTTTCAGGATCAGCCGGCCACTGTGCTCGCCCCCGAGGCAGCAGGCCGTGGAGGGAAGAGCGTGGGAGGGAAAACGTGGTGGAGCAGCACGAAGCCGTGGTGATCCCGTCCGTGTACAAGGCAAAGAAGGAGCAGAAGGGTTTGACGCGTCTCTTGAGCCATCTGAGGGCCGCGCATCCTGACGCGTTCGTTTTCTTAGTGCCAGTTGCCAGATCGGCTCGGTGCCGAACTGACCGAGGGCCACCTCTGTACGTTGATGGCACGTCAGGATGCCAGTGGAGCTGGAGGGTGACCCAGAGGGCTGACAGCACAAATACGTCTGGAGCTTATGGAGAACAGAGCGATCCAGCTGCGCGTGCAACACTTCGAGAGCACCTTGAGAACGGAAGTACACGAGTGCCAGACCATCGAGGACGAAATTTACATTCTTCTGTGGGATGCCATCCCGAAATTGCTCATGCCCGGCTCTCCCGCTCCAGACAGGAGTTTACTAGAACGGGAGGACCAGGTCGGGGAGTTCCGGCTGGTGCAACAGTATGTAAATCACCAGCACGTCTTGTTGGCGGTTAATGGGCAGAACGAGTTTGTCGTTGTTAAGATGCACAACAAGCGCAGCGTCACGGCTGCCGAGGAGGTGGAGAGCATCTACCAGGAGTTCTGCCTCCTGAAACACACCCTCGACCTCCCACACATCATACGGTGCGTAATCATGCCGCACAGCCAGTCCTATGTGCACTTGGTGCTCCAGTATGGTGGCGACGCCTGCATGGAGCAGGTGCTGTCGACTCAACCAGGCTGCAGCTTGTCCAGGGACGACGCCCTGGACTCCACCACCCAGGTCGCGAGTGTTCTGTCCTATTGCCAAGCCATTGATGTTACTCACGGGCAGGTGTCGCCGCGGCACGTGTCGATAGAGATGGCAAGGAATCGGCTCGTTTGCCGCCTGGTGGACTTCAGCATGACAGCCGGCGGCGTTCCAGACTGCAGCACGCGGGAGACCCCGTGCAGCGCCCTCCCGTGCGTCGCTCTGGAGGCGGCGCTGGAGGAGCCGTACTGGCCCGAAGCCAGCAGATTGCTGGAGCCCAGGGGTGGTGCTCCTGGAGATCCCTGGCGGGCAGGGCTCGCCCGACCTGCTGGTGCGCGGTGGCGCCCCGTGGCGCCTCCCTCGTGCAGAGGCCACGCGGGAGATGCTCGAGCTGTTCGCCCGAGCCGGCCCCCTATGCCCAAGCGGTGGCGAGCACGGGTGGCGTGCACGACGATGCGGCGTTGGCGGGCCCGGAGGCCCGAGCCCCTCCGCAGGACCCTGCGCCTCCGACGCGGCGGAGGTGCTGTCGGCCAGGCGCGTGCAGGCCGCTCGTCTCGGGTCGGGCGAGGGGGGGGAGGAGGAGGAGGAGGAGGAGGAGGAGAAGGTCTGGGACCGAGACCTTTCTGGCACTCTGGAAAGAGCCAGAGCGTTCTTCGTACAGAACCACTCGGACTCACCTTACACGTTGCTTAACAGAGTTCTTTCTCATCTGTGTGTTCTAAGCCGTGCATTTTGCCAAGGGGCAGACACATCACGGGAAAAGAAAAGAGCTGGCATCGACGCTTACGTGCACGAAGGGGAGCGTGTAGACTACTTCTACGTGCACTGCGGGCCAGAGATATCCTTGCCTCGCATCATTCTGCACAAAACATGGCAGGCAAAGGAGGGACACGGAATTCAGGACCAGGTGTGCAGTGGGATTGCGTGCAGTGTGGACGGTATGTGAAAGGGCACCACTGGCGTTGTTTGTGTGGACAGACATACGGACAGAACCAACAGCAGCAGAACTGGGCACATCACAGTGCTGTTCTGCAGGGTGGTGCTCATTACGGTGGATTAAGTGCAGGACGGGTGCAGGTGCGGGATGTCAAGTCCAGAGCTCCATCAAGGCCGAGGGCATCAGTCACAGAGCTCGACAACAAAAAAGCTGTGAAGAAGTATCTGTCATCCATCATGCCGGCTTGCAGAACAGATGCAGAGAGTTCACCATACTTCGAGCCTGCTCCGTTGGAGATTGAAGGCCTAAAAAAGTTCAAGGCGTCAGTGAGGCAGAAGCTCAAGGGTCTTGCTACGCTGGGCATTGCTGGACGAAACATTGGGAAGGATTGCCTCGACACAGTCAATGAGATTGCAGTTCTGAAATATATGCTAAGCATGATGGAGCCAATCACTAGGCAGCTCCACGAGTTACGCCAGAGGGAAAATGTTACCACGGACAGAATGAAAGTACTGGAAGGAAGGCTCAAATCTACACAACTGGACATACAGCAGTGTCAAGTAGAGTTGCAGCACATCAAAACCAGTATCGAAGAGCTTGAGGAGCTTGATGACTCGGACACCGAGATGGCGGATACGTATCCTGACGTCGTGGCAGTGGAGGAGGAGGCGGGACAAGTGCTGCAGCTTCGGGCGCGGCTGAACGCCCTGCCCCTCAGAAGATCCACACGCCGAGGGGAGAGCATCGCACACATCCAGCAGGCGCAGCCCCAGAACCGACGGTTCCTGGACCGCCCAAGGCCGAGCCACCGCCGCTCGGAACGCAGCTCGAAGGTATGATGCAGCTTCTGTCCAACCTCATGGCTAAGCAGAATCACACGGAGTCGGTGCTCAACAGTCTAGGGAACTTTGTGATGCAGCAGGCTACGACGGCTGGAGCAACAGGGGCGACAGGGGCAGGAGGATCGACTGGAGTTTTTCCTACTGGGGGACCTGCGGCGGCGACGACAGGGCCAGCCCCCGAGGGAGCGCGATTCAAGACGCCGCCGCACAAGTCCAGGGCGGCGAACAGTCCAGGACCAATGAGAGCACCGTCAACACCAGTGGAAGGATGTCCAACTCCAGTTGCAGCTACACCGGTGGATCCTTCGGCCAAGGTGACAATGCCCAACTTCGGACAAGGTGGAGATGGCGAGATACCGTACATGACACAGATTTCGCCGACTCAGCCATTTCATCACATGGAGATGGAGGATCCCAACATGCCAGCGCCAGAGACATCGGTTACGGACGGCAGTACGACGGCAAGTTCAACACCTATGGGAGCTCCATATACAGCAGAGCAGATCGCCGAGCAGACCCGCAAGAGGAACGAGAGGGAGGCCGCAGCGGGAGCGGCCGAGCGGCCAGTGCCAGCAACACCAGAGGGCTCGGCGAGCGGGCTCACCGACGCGATGGGAGTTGTCAACCTCGTGAGCCAGGCCACACAGGAGGCACCTGTCGACTCCGAGACGGCCAGTCCGCCACGCAAGGAGGCAAGGACCTCCGCGTGAGGCTGGGATCTGTGCAAGTCAGATTTTTCCGAACAGATGAGGGTCCACCAAGAATCTCCCCTCTTCCTCACGTTTCTCCTCAGCGTTCCATACTCAGACATGCAGCATGCAGTATTGAAACCTCAGTGGACTCATCTCGTTCGGAGAGCAGGGCATCATCCTGCCACAATTTAGTTTTCCTTGACGTTGTTAGAAGTGATAATGACACTTGTCAGGCTGTTGAGAATATGTCGGGTAACCACGTAGGATCCAGCCTTGATTTCTCAGGAGTTTCTTGGGCATGGGGAACCCCTAAGGAGTATGAGTTTTTCCTCAAGCTTGCTTGCACGTGTGTATGTGGAAAAAAGTTAGAGGTTTTCGTTTCGCTGTTTTTGAGCTTTTGTCTTGCTAGGCCGTGCAAGTCTCCAGCTGAGGCAGCGTGCACGAGCAACTTATGTGAGTCAGAGTCTTTAATGCATCCTGGATCAAATTGTCATGAAGCTGGGGGCGGGCGCTATCATTGTCTGATTATCACAGAGGGGTGTGCTAAGAGTAGATACACTCCTCCTTCGGAAGACAATGAATGGCCGCCTGCCCTAGGCTATCTCTGGCTGGAAGCTTTAGATGGGGCGGGATGGGCAGGAGTTAGGCGGAGAGGGGGAATTCCGACTACACAGGTCTTGAGACCCGACGCTCCTGTCTTTGTTCCGCGGGAGGCCGAAGTCAGAGGGGCTTGGCCTAATCCCTTGGCACCAGCTTGGAAAAAGGAGGTATTTTCCACTGACTGTGAGCCGCCCTGTTCCTTGTGGTGTATTGCAGAAGAAACATCACTTTTTGGGCGGCTCCACGATTTCCCGCTTGATGCATGGATTTCGATGCACCATGCTCCGACGGTGTGTGTATCCGCATCGTCTGAATTCAGAAACGTTTTGGTATATCAAGGTTCGCTACTAGGCTTACAGGCAGCTGTCTCGTTTCCCAGTATCCAGGTCAACGCTTTTCAGTTTATTTGGGGCTCTCGGCTGAGTTTCGAAACCTATCTGTGTTGTCCTGGGTTCACCTATTTTCATCCTGGGCCGATACTGGCCAAGCTGCTCCCACGCCGTTCTACCC